TGGATCATCTAGAGTCCATTGCTGAGTGCACAAAATGTCAAATGAATAGCTGGCAAGGGGCAGCCCTTCTCCCACTCTCTTGCACTTGGCTTGACAATCGCATTTTAAATGTAAATTCAATTATTCATGAATCCATTTGGACACACAGCCTAATAATAATTATGCATTCCAAGTACGTGAAGGCAAGGGGCTCACCCTCATGAATGTGCTTTCAATATTCAATAAATATTTCATTTACAAATTTTAGTCTCTCGTGAATCGAGTTTTAATAATAAAAATACATTTTCAATGCTGCCGAAGGAATGCTGAAAGTCAACTACATTTCCATGTACATTATTGTGGCGGATTGTTTACTGTGATTAGTTTCCGACTAATTAAAGTCTGGTACGTTGGCGCTGGAGTCCCCCGATGGCGGTGCCATATCCTGCGACTGGTGGTCTTGCCCATTTGCTCATCTTGCTGATCCACCTGGTCTCCTTGGCACCTGCCCATCCGCGTGCGCTTGTCCTTGATACAATTAATTTCAACATAAATTTGCACTTGCGACGACAGGCAACAGGCAGCACAGGCCCCGAAGGCCCCACATGAACCACCGAATCCCAACCCCCACTTGGCCCATCCATCCATCCATCCACCCACCCACACACACACACACACACATCTAGTAGATGACCTTGGGTGTCACTGTCGTCACTCTAGTGTGGTGGCGCTGCTGCTGCTCTTGTGGGCCGAATACGTTCCGCTTCTATTCCCATTTCCACAACTGTTGCACATCGCGTTAGCTCTTGGTCTAAGGCTGTGTTTTGTTGTTGACCCAATTTGCCACCTAGTAGAAATGTCCATTCTAGCTTTCCATTACCTTTTCTCCTGCCTTTTCAGCCACCATTCGTCCCTCTCATCAGTCTCCTAAAAAGCCAATAAATTTTCATACAAAACAGCAACGGGGAAAAGCGGGGAAACACCAGCAATTTAATGGCCTCTGGACTTTAATATTTTTCCACGTTTTTTTGTTTGGCCTGGGAGCAGTGCATCAAAGTCCTTCAGTGGGGAGAAGGTCCAGCGGCCAGCGGCCAGCGGCCAGCTTCCATGTCCATGTCCGTGTCCGGGTGATTAAATGAAATTTACGAGTAGAGTACTCCCATGAACCGAAAGAGAAGCTTTTTGCATAGAAACAGACAGAGGGAGAAAAAGAGATTCTAATTCCAGGCCTCTGTTCTCTCTACTGTCAGAGATTGATGGGACGGTGTTTTGTCTTTTCGGGGTCTGTCAGTGGTCAAGGGAATTTCGACGGCCATACAGGAATAGAAGCCAAATAATGAACTGGAGACGTACGCATCCCCCACCATATTTTGATGATCATTTTGCGCAATGCGAATGATTATTGTGGTCCCAGAGACGGCAACATCTATGTACATATAATTAAAAATAATTATAGGAGATGGGCACTAAAATGCTCGCAGCGGTAAGGGCATTGCAGTGCAGCCAAAGGATTGAATCACAAAATTAAGGGTAACGCGGGAAGGCACACACAAGAGCCGCCTGAAAATTCACAGAATTTTCACACAAAAAGTAGCTGCAGGAACTGTTTGTGAGCGTTTTTTGTGCGCCAATTCCTGGAATTGAAACAAAAAAAAATAATACTGAGCTTTAAATGCAATTTCCACTGGGACTTGAATCAAGAAAGAGCTTTAACAGAAATCTGCAGAGTAATCCCATCACATTATTCCTGCAAAACAAAAACGTACATTAATCATGGAACAATTGACGTTTTTAATTACATTTTCTTTGCATTCTGTGGAGTTGGAAAATCCCTTAGAATTTGATTGAAACGAAAAGATTTCCCCTTCTTACGTCAAGCCAAAATCTTGAACCATCCTTAACTTTAATCAGAGCTGCAAAGCCCCGGAAAAACTCAAAGATATTTATGTATCTTAACGCGTTGAAGCGTGTCGTTGATGCGTAGTTTGGGGTAATTATTCATTGAACTTTAAACACATTCGGTTTGGCATTTATGGAATGCTCATCTTGCAATGCCATTAAGTAGGAATTTCCTTTTGTTCATGTGGCATTTAAGCCCCTAACACAAACGAATTAATATTTGCGCAATAAATAAATTCCATTGAATTCAGGAGTCATATGTTGGGAAATTCCATTGATTTAAAGGGTCCAGCCAAACGAATGCAGTTTGAGTTCTATGAACGCTTTAAGAGTCCAACGCCATCTTTCGACTTTATGGACTATTATCAATCCACTAATCGTTAGCCTATTCTGTTGATGGATGTTGGTAGATTAAGGCGGACATTGATGGGACTGTCAATAGCGTTTGAAATCCAATAATAAGCCCAACAATTATTCGGGACAGGCCATTAAAGTGCGAAAAAGAAAAGGAAAGGAAAACTCTGCCACGTTGAGCGGGATACAAATGTGATGAGATAGTCCAAAACTATGGCTGACAGGCCCTATTGAAGCCCAACAAGTAGAAGGAGAACTCCTCTGGGTCTATGAAGTGGAACGAGACCTCCTTCTGGCAGTAGCTGTACGATCTGCTGCTGTCTCTGGGGCTCTGTCTCTCCTTCTCTCTCTCTCTCTGGTGGTGCCACTGGACTTGGACTCAATGTTTATGAGTTGCAATGGCGACGCGTTGACAGGCTTACCCCCGCCACACTGGAACACTGGTTCCCTCTCCCTACCATGGATGAGTGCCGCGTCTTCTTCCTTTTCGTTGGTTTTTTTTAGTGTTTCTGCTTTTTTATGAACATGTCAGTGTGGGTTGTGTTTTTTACGACAAGCAGCCATTTTATTGCAAGTGTTGGCCTCGTCTCGAGGTTATTAAAGTTTCACATAGCCGCCCCCACATTTGGGCTTGAAGTCTCATTGCGGCGGCCAGCGGCTCCATGACAGACAGCTTTTGGAACACGAGGATAAATATGAGAGTGAAAGGCTGAAGGCTGAAGGCTGGTGGCTGGAAGCTGTGATGATGATGTGATGTGATGCGATGTGCAATGCAGACCGCCTGCATACATACATAGCTCTCCCACTTTTGGCCCACTTTCGGCCACACTCGTCGGTTTATGGCTGAAAAGTGCAATCATAAAACGTTCAGGGCCCCTCGGAAAATACACAGCGGAGAGAAAACGAGAAACAGAAAGAAGATGCCAGAGCAGACAGAAATTATATTTGCCCAATGCATTCAAATTATGTTCCAACTTCAAAAATAAGTTTTGTGAAAATATAATGGAAAATTGTGTGTAGTTTTTTACCATTTTCACCCACCAACAAAACGGAGCACATCCTGGCCAAGCCAAATTGTTTGCCGAACAAGAAATCGTGCAACTAAAAGCTCATAAAAGCCAATTGAAACAAATCAAAATGCAAAGAAAAAAACGCAAACAAACTGCAACAGTGATAGGGACAGGAGAGGCAAGACATAGCCAAATGGGACAAAGAGGCAGAGCAAATGGGATGGGCAGACAGGGAGCAAAAGAGAGGCCAGAACGCCAGACTTCTAAGTGGCTTTGTGGACCGATTTTCCAGTCCACGTCTTTCACGGCACACGAATGAAGTGGTAGACCCATCCAAATGGGAGTCAGACCATTGGAAAATCGAGTGAAAAGAGAGAAAGTCGAGTGCACAAGAACTCGGAGCGTGGTGGCAAAAGTTGGAAATTGTCTGCAAATGCCAAAGTCGTATGGGAAATGCTCTTTTTATGTAAGGAATTTCAAGTATAATTCCAGAAATTACGAGTTCTTTATAATATTTAGAAATGTTATTATGTGTTTAGCTTTATTTTCTTTGTTTAAGTTTTGGCTTTCAGGGGGGTTTATTTTAAGGCTTTGTCCCTGTATCCTTTATGACAGCTAAATGTTTTTTATGGGTATGGCAAATATATTTTTCATCTAAATGAGCCCCTTCAATCTTTTACATATTTCTACATTATTTATGTAACATAATAAATGATTAATACTGCACATCGATAGTTCCATAACTTCTTTGTACTTTTATCTCTCATTTGTTGACAGATTTGATCCATATTTGAAGCCAACAAAAAGGGCTGTGATGCCTTCAGATGCAGAGTCTTGCAGAGTGTGCACCCAGGAATCATTTGTGGCTGTGGCAGGTTATGGCAGTAGTAACTCGTCGGAGAAGTGGCAGTAACTACTCGCAATCTACTCTTAAGTCGAAGGAAGCATCAGGGAAGCCACAGAGCAAACAGCAAAACATTTATGATTCTTTAGGGGTACACTTGGGGGCTTTGTGGGCATCGGGATAATGGGTAATGGGTAATGGGTAATGGGGAAAACTGGCAACTACTTTTCACTTCACTTAGAACAAGGCACATTTCAAGCATCATTTCCATGATCCTTTTGATTCGGCGAATGAAAACCAAAGTGGAAACTGTTTGTGCCATAATTTTGCATATGAAAGCGGAAAAGCAAATGGATGCGAAGAATGTTTCTGCGGTCTCACAGAACCGTAAACACCGGAGCGGAAACGCTTAAAGAGTTGGCTAAAGAGGAATTTGAAGGGATATCACCACAAATATGCTCGAAGAAGTGACACGAGAAAGTAGACAGAGAGGTTTCCTGCGTCAAGGCTGTTTCTCTCTTGTTTTTCTGTGGTTCCCTAATTCGCTCTAAATTCCCAATAATCTCCCTCTGTAGCCATTAAAAATCAATTGCAAAACGAACATCTGTACCATAATTATGGCAATAATTGCATCCAATTGAGGTGTGACAACAAATCACTGGAGCCCATAATTAGTGACAATGACTAAATTACGCTGTGGCTCTCTTTTTTTGAAGCCAACTTAGTCGCTGGGCAAGTGCCGCCGCAACAACAACATGAGGAGAAGCCACTGTATTCAATGGATGGGGATTCTAGCGCTGATCGGTTGCCTGCCGCACTCCAAGCAGGTGCCGTGTGGGAGTCCTTTACATATCCGAACACAATTCGAACTCAAAGAGATCTTCCTTTTGTTGTTTTTCTTCATGCAGCATTGCTATATGATGAAGCTGGTGGGGTTTCGGACATGGGACACGCCCAATTATGGCCTCAAGATGAAAATGTACGAGAAGAACAACACCATGTCCTCGGTGACGACAGTGCGCCAAGATGTGGCCATACCACTGTGGCAGCTGGTGCTGCTGCAGCAGCCACGCAAACGGAGCGCCGGTGGCTCGTCCTCGCGCACCGAACTGCCGCGCACCCTGTACAATTCCACGGTAAAGACATGTGACTTCTGGAAGTACATGCGACATGTGTCCGCCTGGAACAATGCGGCCAAGCTGATGCTCTCGAAGGGGGCCAGCAACATGAGTCTCGCCTGTCCGATGAAGGCAGGTGTCTACATGATGAACAGGATTCAGGTGCCACCGGACACGGCCCTCCTGAAGTTCATGTATCATCCCAATACCCTGTACACGCTGGAGGGCACTGTCTATGGCCTGAGCCCCAAGGACGGTGTGACCAAGCGAAAGCTCTGCAAGTATGAGGTCAATGCAACCATTTTCAAGTCCTGCTAAATGGGGAGAAAGCACTTTGTTGCTCTCCTCCTTTTTGTTCTTGTTCTGTGTGTGTGTGTGTGTGTTTTTTTTTTGCTAGTTGTAACAAATAAAAGTGCCCATTTTCCAAATCTGTTGTTGCATGTTGCACGCGTCAGCAAAAAGCAGTGCGACTGTTAATTAAGTGCGAAAGGAAAATGTATGCCAAAGAAAACCCCAAAACAGCAGAAACATAAAAGCACACAGTGGGACTAGAAATATCCAATTAAGTGTACTTTCCACATACCATTTTAAGTTCCACTTTTTATTTTAAAAGTTTCATGAAACCCTCCCAATTTCACTGTAAGTCCCACTGCGAAACACTCATAGGAAACATGGCCATGGCTCATATTACTCGTACTCATACTTCATTCCCATGGATTTGCATTTTGCATGACCACACGCACTGCACCCTGGACTGCAGCACTGCACATTGGACATGCACTGCTCTATATTTCTACATTTCTACTTGCTCTCTCTCTCGACAAATGCAGCCATAAATGCAATCAATTTTCATGCATGTGTGGTGCAGCTGCTGAAACAATGTTGCACACGAGGAAGGGGACAAGCAATTGGGAAACCAAAAGATATGCCGGGCATATCGTGAAAATGATGCCCGCTTTTTGGTTGTGGAAAAAACAAACCGCTAAGTGGGCTCGCGGCAGGAAAGAATGAGTGAACTGAATGAGTGATGCTGTGAATGGCCAACTAAATGAGTGACTGAATGCGCGGCTAACTGCAAGAGTGACTGAATGGAAGGCAAACTGAACGACGACAGACAAACAGAAGAGGGACTTCAAGAAGGGATTTACCGCCTGAAGGATTGACTGCCTGAACTCCAGGTGTAGTCCCCAAGCCTGGGGAAATTCCTCTCCCCCCTTGGCAACATCTGCCCCCAGCAATTGGCATAAAATATGCGATGCTTGCATGCCACAGACTTATTATTAAAACATAAAATTTGCATGCAGGCCGCAAAGTCAGAGGCGACCCAAAACCCACATGTATACCCCCCATGCATAGCCCTCTATATCCCACCCATACATACATACACTCGTATATAAGACCCAAAAGAAAACGAAGAAAAAAAGAGCACACCCCTCTGCTTATACTTATACTTTTGTGGTTGCTGTGGGGTAGAGGGAGATTCGCATATAAATACGTGCCTGCTCGTACATTTATGTGGCGTTTGGCAATTTGAACTCGTGAATTATGCACAGAACGGGGAGCAAAGACAATGGCTGCCACTGGAGTAAATGGTGGATGGCGGCGAGCACTCGACAAAAGAGAAGGTGGCTGGGTGGGAGGACTGGGGTACTTGTGGGATCAGCGCATTAGACAAATTTGGGCAGTTTATTTACGGGCAACAGTTTGGTGGAGTGGAGTGGAGTGGAGTGGAATGGACTAGAGAGTAGCGTGTAGTCCACAGATGCTAACACTCCACTCAGCGAATTGCTCTCAACATTACTGAAATGGAGTGGCTGGATGTACTGGATGGAGTGGAAGGTGCGTTGATTTGTGTTTTGGGAGTTTAACAAAGACGAAGGATTCCAGTGCCGGTAAATGCCTATTAGTATTGGGAATTGCATAACTGAGTCAGATAGAGCCCCAGACCATCGGCAATGCAAGTGTGTGGTTGGGAGTTTATTGTATGATCATATGTATCTCTATTGTTCGAATTGATTGGTAGACATTCAGTTATTTTAGCGGAGAACAAAGCATTCACGTTGATTTTTATTACGAGTCGTAATTGCGAATCATTAGTACGTCCACCCCAATCGTCATCATTAGTGCGGAGAGAGAGAGAGAGAGAGAGAGAGAGAGAGAGAAGTACACTGGGAAGTAGTAGTTATTCTTTACGCAAGTCACTGCCTCAGTTTTATGTGGCACTAATTATTATGCCACTTACGTCTCCTGACAGACAATTACCGCAGAAATATTATCTACCGACTGCTGACTGGTGGGTGGAGAGAGGAGTTGAGAGGAGGTGTGACTGAGCGGTGCTGCAATTATGAAACATTTCTTTGTCGAATCCAACACTTGATGAATGCCTCGACACTTGCCATAAAAGTGTCGACAGGTGACAGAAGTCACGCTGCAGGCCACAGTAAATGCCATTTCATGCTCCATGCACTCTTTACACATAGTGTCCTGTAACTGCAGTCGTTGTGCAGGAGCAGTCGAGTTTGATGCTTAGCCACGTACCGCATCAGATTGCAGGTTACGTCCTGGGATGTGTCCCAATCTGATTGCTCTGCTCGGCTCTGCTGTGCCCTGATGTCGTGTTGGATTCCTTTAATAGACACAGCTACAGTACGATAGCTGCTCCCCCTCTCTCTCACTCTCTGTCTTGCTGCAGCCATGAGTGGTCATGGCATCAGATGTCTAGACACTCTGTCCTATGTCAACAGCAGATGGCCAGCAAAAGCTTTAGGAGCTCCATAAGTTTAAAAGTGTGCCAAGAACTTCCATAAAGAGCTGCCGTATGATGTCCAACGTGCATCAGCGCGGAGCTCTGCTTATGCAGCAAAGCAAATCCCATCTGGCTGGAGGCTGGCTTTTAGGAACCTTTTTTTTTTTTAATCCAGAACGTCCCAAAGCCCACGAATCCACCTAGAACAAAGCCAAAGAGTAAGTCTATTTCTGGAAGCAACACCAAGCGAAAAGTGCACTCAGCTAAAGCAATTCCCTTTCCATGAATAGCAGTAATAATCAGCAGCTGTAGCTGCAAGTGGCAGCAAATGAGATTCCATTCCAGGAACAGCTCAGCTCTGGATGCACCGCCAGCGACAGCTGTAGGTGGGCAAAGCTTTCTGGGAATTGAAGGGTTTACCCGACTGCTGAGCTGACTTCTATGGGGCCTGTGTAGGTGGCCAGCATGTCGTAGTAGTTTCCAGGAAACGAGATCACAATGCAATGACTGCAGGTGTACAGCAGCCCCCGCGAAAGTCCCTTCCAGGAATATCCTTATTAAAGTGTCAGAAATGCAGAAAAAAGCACTCAAATGCATTTAATGTACGTTACTTTATGATTTAATTAGAGAACAGCGAGTGGCACTCACTGCAATAACTGCTGCAGTTGCTTGCCACAGAATGTTGCACATGAGGGGGGGGGGGCATGAGAGGATGGGGAATTGCAATTACCAGGCCAGAAGTGCAACTAAACGGAAATTGCTGCTCATACGCAATTGTCACTTCGATAACCTGAACACTGGAACTGCCACCTCCTCGTTTCTTTCACGTTTGTCGTGCGACTCTTTATGACAGTCGACAGGCCATGCGCCACGCATGCCACATGCCACATGCCACACGCCACGAGGCCGGCAGCAGTCACTTCACTTTACAGGTAATCGCAATCAAAATGGGTATTGCTGCCACAAAGCGAGCCTCAGAGGGAGAGCATTGGAAGCCAAAAGGCACATGCTCAACGCTCCCGTGGGTTCACTTTTCACTATTCACTGGGTTTCCAGCACGAAGGAAGCCCATTCATGAAATGCACCAAATGCGTGGCTGCTAAAACTGCATCAGTGCTCTGCTTCCAGTAGCATAAAAAATATATCTGGATGCCTGTGCAGGCGGCGGCGCATCAAATGTCACATTAATTTGTTGCACTTTAATGAATTGTGCACACGTACTGACCAAAAGCCGTAACAAATTGCAAAAGTAGTCAAGCGGCATAATTGGCGATGCCCAGGCAACAACCACACTAAGGATAACCAACCGAGGGGCATTGCTGCATGTCGCATCGCTCGCTAAAATTATGAATTATGTGGATTTGAATGTCTGAAATCTAGAGAGGCAGAGCAAGTCCATTGCAATTTGTAGGACCCTGAGTAATCCAAGGAGAATTGGAGCCCTAACCGCTGCAGCAACTTTGCGAAGAGAGATGAGCCTTCAGGGTCTCCGCAACTTCGTATGATAAATAAATAGCTACGAACATTTAAAGAGATTTAACACATACTCGTACATGTAGTTAAGTTTGCTGGCCCTGGGGGGCAACAGTCGCTGAAATTTCACCTTGAAAAAATTGCTTTTCCATTTGGGTGACATTAAGAGTCAAAGTTCGAGGGAAATTAAGTGCGCATTAGTGCCTTTGCCTTTGCCTTTGCCTTTGCCTTCTCCGCCGTCCTACCCTTGATAGAATATGCCGCAGGGTAGCCTATGTATATGGATGGACACAGGTGTTTCCTCCCAACGATAGGCCAAATTATAATGAAAGCTTCCAGCCCGCACGTCGCATGGGTTTGATAATTGAGCATCAAAGCTGGTTGTGGGTGCTGGGTGCTGGGTGCTGGGTGCTGCTGCCCTAGCGGTTTGTTTTTAGTCTTTAGCTTTCAGAAGTGTCCAGGATAGGTCTATTTCCCTGCGAGCAGATGTCCGCCCACCTGTCTGCCTCTCTGGACATTGTCCATCGCTATCACTCTCTCACTCTGTATCTCTGTCCAAAATTAGTGATTCGCAGTGCCTACGATTCAGTTAAGAGTTGTGCGAGGGAAGCGGCAGGGCTGTGCACATGTTTCGCTTCCTGGACATTTTCTGGGTAATTAGAGTTTCATGTTTCCGCATCAAAAACAGGCGCTAGGCGGAAGTTGCCAGCAGCAACACACGAAAAAGGCAGGAGGAGGCACGGGGAAAGCCAGAAAGGAAAGCAGGAAGGAAGCAGCAGCAGCCAGCAGGAGAGGAACGTGCTGCTTAATTACACGCATTAACAAATATCACACATACGCCATGTGGGCCTCACTCGAACCACACTCCGAACAGAAAGGGCAGAAAAACAAAGGACAAAAAAGAGCGAAATGTAGCAAAACGTGAATCAAGGCAAAAACGCGATGGAAAACAAGAAGAAAACATTGTCAAAGCACTTGATACCCTATGCCAGAGATCCCATGAAGCAGAAAGCAGGAGCAGCCACTTATTCCCAGAGTGTTTCTCTGTGAATTGTTGCCTTTTGCGCTCCGCTTTTATGTGTAAACGAATCACACAAAGTGCAATCTATTTATTTATTATATTATATTATTATATCGCTTGGGGGGATATATAGAATGAGCCGCAAGTCCCATTGAAACTCTACTCAAATTTCAAATGTTTTTCGAAATGAATCAACAAACGCTTTGCCCTGCCCAATGGCCCAAAGGCATATACCAAGTGCCGGCCAGTCAGTCCTGCTGCAAGTCGATAACCCTAAATGGCCCTAGGAGCACCAGGGAGCTAGAGAGAGAGAGAGAGAGACCAAAAAGCGAATGCAATTTAATAGCCAGGTTGGACCGACTCTCTCTCGACTCTCGTGTGTCCCTCCCGAGAGAGGGGAAGTGCAACGGCAATATTCAGATTACACGATACGCGATTGTGGATGTGGATGCCACACCCTGGAGGGTGGACGGTTCCATCCATTTGATGGGCACGTAGGATCTACCACTCGATAGAGGGCTCCTGGCACACACGTCCCACATTAATGGCCCACACAGCACCCTTGGAGGGAAGGGGGCGAAATGAAAACCAGCACAAAATAATTGTTTTCCGTTGGGCAATAATTTTCTATACCTTCAGTCGCTGCCGTCCCACATTTCCATTCCCTTGGGCGTGGCAGAGGAAGAGGAGCGTGGCACGGGGAGGGGCAGGGGCAGGGGCAGGGGCAGGGCGTCGCAGTGTACTTTATTTCGCCCAACAAATTGAGTTAAGCGTAAAAATACAAAGGGAATAATAAAACAACAGCAAATGCAAAAAGCCAAGCCCTTTGCTAAGAGGAGCAATGGCAAGAGGCAGAAAGGTGCGAAGCACTTAAAGGGAAAGAGAGAGAGAGGAGAGACTATGTAAGTAAATCGCTAATGGAACAGTTGAGGGAACACGGAAGAAGTTCATATTGGGATACGCAAGGAACACTCCTTTAGCACTTGGAAAGGATCATACAGAAACGAATGGCATGAAACACCAACATGGCAAACACTTTTTCTGTGTGGAATTGCTAGAGTCTATCCAGCATTCGGTGTCTCTCGATGGGTTGTGGTATTTCTCCTTAAATCATGATGTAATTTTAATGTCCCCTTCCCTCCCAGAGGTCATTATTTGCCACACACACCCATCTCCCTCAGCCGCTTGATCACTCTCTCTCTCGCTCTCTCACTCCCCCTCACTTGCCACACACCATTAATGAGGCCACAAAACGAGCCCTCAAATGACCAACAAAAGAGCGAACAAAGGCAAAAGCTCGAAAGACGCCAGAAAACATTGTTGCGACGGCAATTGTCTTGTTTCTTGTGAGTATCGAACAGGTGTAAGGCTGCCACAATGTTGCAACTCCTCTTGGAGTTGTGCCCCCTATAGAGGTAATTTTATGGTTCCTGTTTAACGAAAGCATCAAGCATCATTCCCGCCCTAAGAAAAAACACAACAACAAGATATGCACTTACTCTACTTCTGAATGAAATGCCTTTTTAAAACAAGAATTATTATCCCCTCTTTTCTGTGGCCTTCGGTCTCGCCGATTCATCCTCCTCTAAACTGCCTCTAAATCTGCAGCAGAGGCGGGGCTTTTCCCATTTCCATTTCCCTGCCAAAACGAAAACAAAAACAAAAACAAAAAGGAAACAAAAAAGAAAACCAAAGTGTAAACTTTTCTCTGGCGCTCCTTCCATCAGGGAGAACGAAGGACGAATCTGTGAGCCATAGTTAGGGGTCTTATGTGGCGCGGTAAATGGCTGGCTGCCCAGCCACACACATGCTTCGGTTCTGGGCATTGTGGTCAGGGGATTTCCACACAGACACAGAGCTCCGCAATGTTGGCCAAGGGCTTGACTTTGATTTTGGGCAAAGTCGTGTCTCTCCTTGCCATTTTGTGGCCAAGGATATATGTGCCTTAATGGGGGGAAAAAGAAACATGGCGAAACCGGGGAGTCCATGATAAATTAGCAGGGGATATGCTTAAAGACTGTTGTGCGAAAAATGCATTTGAGAGACGGTCTATCAAGCAGATGCAGAGCCATGTTCTGGTTCGCAACTCTCGGCTTAGGGCATTGGGAGCAGCATCTTCAGTTCAACCCAATCTGCATCTGCTAAGAGAAAACCAAACAGATTCAGGATTAGGAAGGAGGAACGATGCCCAACCTCTTGACTGTGGCGTCCTTACTGAAGCGCCTGCAAGGTTACTTCATCAAGGACTTCATTAAGCAGAAATGGCATTGGGGCTTGAACTTTTGTTGACAATGTGCCATGTGTCGCGGATTTAACAGGGTTTCGTAGAACCTTCTAGTTTCTGGTCTTCCTAAGCTGTTAGAAGTTGAAACGCAAGTACGACGAGTGCAGACACTGCTCAAATACCTTTCGGAAACCACATTCCTCTCTCTAATTAATTTTGCAGCAACCACAAACTCCTCTCTCCCACACACACGCACACAAACAGACTCCTGGGTGAAAAATATGCACCCCTTATCTATGCGAGAGAATTCTATGCTCCCCTGGTGCATAGCCCAGAGAATGTTCCACCATTTGTATGGTAAATGAAAACATTTGATAATGGAAATTGCTTGGAAACGCAACAGCAGCAAATGGGAAGACAGAAAGAGAATTTTCTTCAGCATCAACTCGCTCTAACTCTCGCTAAAGAAAAACCTCTCGGTTTTGTGTACTCGCCCACTCGCTACTCGCTGTGGGCTTCGATAAAAACGTTTCCACTCACATTTGACTTTTTTCTCGTCTTTCTTTTACATATTGAAGCTTCTTTGGCTATCAATATTCCCTTGACTGGGCGATAAATTCTTTCATTATTTAATATCTTTAATATGTTTAGCTTGTAAATTTGCTTTAAGTCTTTTCGATGCCTTATTCATTATTCTAAAGCAGCAAACGGTGTTGCCAATCGAAGGTTATAACAAGTTTTCCCTCGCATATCCCGAAAAACATAGAAGGGACATTCAACTAACGACTGACACGTTTTGTGGCAGCAAATGAGAGTTCGCCAAAGTGAGGAGCGAGTCGCAAAGGTAGGAGAGCCTCTGTAGGAGAATCTGTCACTGAGCCACCCTAGAGTAGGGTCCTGTCCGTGGGATTGCTCGGTGCGTGAGAGTGATCCAAGAAAATCCAAACAAATTACCGTGCATCAATTTGATGCTGCATTTTGTCATCAGAATATATTGATGAGACTGTCTCTGCTTTGAGCACGGAGCAGGATGGAAGATAGCAGCGTCTGTGTCTAGGACTTAAATGCTAATCATGGGAGTCGAGTTCTTTGCTATCCTGTGGTTCATCGTACTCTTCGAATGGAGCCCCCTTCGCTGCGTGGCACTAATCAGATTCGTGGCGTAAAGGAATAACCCAAATCAGAAGCAATTTGTTTGTCCTTATCTCAAGTGTCCTTCGTTCTGGCGGTGCTCCTGTGTCATCGTTTGTTGCATGAGTAATTGCATGATAAAGGGCCTTGCAAAATGGTCTCGCACTCTCACTCTCTCTGTCTGATTTGATGGGGCATTCATTGGGCAACCTATTGCAACATGTTGCAACTAGATGCCAGCCACCGCTTCCACTCTTTATCTTTCTTTCTCGCACATTTAAGCAACACTTTCTCCTTCTCCCTCTCTTGAAATGTTACGAGCGGACATAAAAAAGCCGGAAAAATATGTCAAGCGATAAAGTAGTGCATGCCACACATGCCACATGGAAATGCAACACCATGTGGGTGTGGGGATTGCCATAACTTGAGGCGCCATTTAGCTGCATTGCGTGCCTACACCCTTAAGGCCTCGATACAAATTGGGGGAAAATGACTCCGAGTAGAGGCTTACAGGAGGCCATCCAGTGAAACAGGGAAACAGCCAACTGGAGCATATGTCACAATGTCTTCCGATCCTCAAACAATAACCCCATCTCGCACTTTCATTCCTTTTCCACTATCAAAGGGAACGGGAACTTATGGCCCATGGCTCTCGGGGTCTTGCTGGTTTTGATAACAACAAAACCTAGAGTTGGAGGCGGGGAACGGGGCAGTCTGAACATCTGTTACCAGCAGACGCTGCCGAATCGTATGACCAGCTAACAGGGGGGACACGTCATCCCTTGGATCACAGAGAGAGAGAGAGAGAGAGAGTCATAGAGGCAGAGCCAGAGCCAGATAAGCAACGAAACAAATAAAACCCACTCCACTGCACAGCGAGCCACTCAGTTGTGTGCCAGTCGCGAAAGAACATGGAACGTTGGCAGAATCGTGTGGCAGTGATAAGTGGCGCCAGTTCGGGCATTGGGGCTGCCTGTGCCCGACTTCTGGTGGCCGCTGGCCTTCAGGTGGTGGCGCTGGCCCGGCGCACCGAACGCTTGGAGCAGCTGCGCCAATCGCTGCCCCTGGAGCAGCAGAGGCTCTTCCATCAGCGCACGTGCGATGTGTCGAAGGAGTCGCAGGTGAATGGCACCTTCGAGTGGATCGAACGGGAGCTGGGTGGCATTGATGTGCTGATCAATAATGCGGGCATTGTACTGGGTGGCCAGCTGATCGATATGCCCACCCAGGAGATCAGCAATGTCCTGCAAACGAATCTCATGGGCAGCATCTACTGCACCAAACTGGCCACTAGCAGCATGCGCCGTCGACAGGTTCCAGGACATTTGTTCTTTGTGAACAGCACCGCTGGTTTGGGTGGCTACAAGCCAGATCCGGTCGACGAGAGCCTCAATGCCTACACACCCAGCAAGTTTGCTCTCACGGCTGTACACGAAATATGCAGACAGGAGCTCATAGCACACGGATCCAAGATCAAGACAACGGTGAGATCAACAAATCGATTCCATCCATAATTCCAACTGAAATGTTTTTCAATTTCAAGAGCTCAATGAATAAAATTAGCCAGAACATGATCGTTTTGGGTCAAAGTAGTTACAAATATTTGAATAGAAATTATCTTTGAGTTGATAAATTGGGAATATTTCATGAACTACATAAAGTCTTGCCTTCTGTACAGTTTCCCCATTGGAGATCTCAAGATAAAGCCCGGATTTCCTTCCCTTATCATGGACATTTTCTCAAACATTTCCCAGCAGTGTTAAATCTCATTTCTTCTCCCTTCGCGATAGTTTCCTGAATGGATTTCTACTTAATTCTGTAATTTTCAACGCAATTCTAAATTCAAACTCTTGGATTTTCTTCCGTTCTTTCAGAGCATCAATCCCGGTTGGGTGGCCACCGAAATCGTGCCAGACGAAACCAAAGAAAAGCTGGGCAATGTGATACTCCAGGCGGACGATGTGGCCCAGGCAGTGCTCTATGCCCTCTCCACGCCGCCCCATGCCCAGGTGGAGCAGATAACGTTGCGCGCCGTTGGCGAATACTTTTGATAGCACACAGAACCCCCCAACCCGCATACTGATAACAGATTAGGCCACGGACCAGCCCACCCCGTAGTGGTTGTAAGCACTGTAATCGACACTCAATGGCAATCAAATAAACGAAACAGAGAAGGGGAACGACCTCAGATACAGATACAGATACAGATACATAAATTCAAGTGGAGGGAGAAGAGAGGTGGGCCCTACATTTTCCCGCTCCCGCTCCCGCTCCCGCTCTCTCTCTCTCTACGCGTTTACATTTCGTTTTTATTGTTATTGTAACTGTCATGATTATTCGACGGTTTCGACTGTTTGGCCTTTCGGTTAGTCAACAAATCTGTGGCACCATAAATAATTCAGATTTTTATAAATTAATAAACGACCCACAAAATGGCCCACAAATCGATGCCATGCCGAACACAATATTAGCTTGGGACTCGATGAAAAATTCAAACGTCAATTGTGTTTGGGGCGACTGAACAAAGCCACAAAAGAATGGCTGCAAAAACTACAGAAATCGTTCGTGGAAACACAAATATCTAAATGAAAACATGCATTGTTTTGGAAGATATATGTCTGGATTTAGATTAGATTTATAGATGAAGCGCCCAAGCGGTACCCCAAACTATAAGGGGCCCTTAAATCCTTTCAGTTAGCCTCAATGTGTGCCTTGCCTCCTCTTATTCGCGGCTTCACATACATAGCTGCATGTTTTAAATAAGTTTTGGAAAACAATTTGTGTGATTAAATTAAGTCAGACACATGTCTGGATGTGCCACCAACACCATCACCATCACCATCGCCATCACCATACGATCGGGAAGCAACAGAGCGCGTTATGCCACAAACTTTTTGATATGCTTTTAGATGCGGTGGCGGTGTCGTTCGCGGTGGCGGTGGCGGTGGCTACTCGTAGGTTTTGGGTTTTGGGACAGAAGTTTTTGTGAGAGAAAAGTAGTTGTGGGCCGGACCACATAATTATAGAATTCCCTTTTGAAAAGCCAGAAAGTACATGCATGCATATACACATATGTACATACATTTATGTACATATCTGAACGATAATATCTCTATACGACTAGTTACTTAGGGTAGCCGCAGCCTCATTGTGGGGCATTTAATTGCATTCGCAAGTCGCTTTTGCATTCACTTGCCCGGAAAATTACACGCTGCCAAAAGTTTCAGACGTGGCTTAAGTCGAGGAATTTCAAGGACCAAGGATTTCACCTCCCCCACCCCATTTTGGCCCAGATACGTACATATGTATGTGTGTAATTATTTTATTTTATTTCATTTTTGCAAAGTTTCAGGGTGAAACCATTTGAATGCTCGCATTTCAGCGGATGGGCGGGATTTTTTGTTTGTTTCTGTATAAGAAACGGAGGACTTTTGCCCCACACATACTCGTATGCTGCTCCTCAAAACTCCTTACAAATAAATGGGAGAGGGAGAAAAAATCCTTACGAAATATTATTCTCTAAAAAGAAAGCAAAACTTGTGGAATTTGTGCTGGGAAATATTCCTGAAGGCAACCACAGATCAGCGTTTTTTTCGGTTTTCCATCTAGAGTATTCCCAACTTCGGTTTTTAGCCTTCAGTTTTTTACATTTTTTGTTGTTGGAAACTTTTTGTGATGTGTGAGAAGCATGGAGGATGGTGGGTGGGATGGCAGGAGTCTTTGTATTCCCAGAATGTGTGTGAGCTCTTCCTCCTCCATTTTACCCAAGTTTGTCTGTCTGTCTGCAGTTAGACAAGTTTCCGCTTTTGTTACCACCACACACACACACATGAAAACTGCCACGGCACTTCACTCATTTCCGGCATTTTGTTTTAATTAAATTTATAACAAATGTCATATATAGCGGCAGAAGTTTTATGTCCCTCATATACTCCTCCTTTCTCTGCTGGCAGCAGGTTATAGACATTGCTCGCTCTCTCTCGGCGCCCTCCGCTTGTCAGTTTAAGTCAACAGCCGCGAAAACTATCAACCAAAAGACTAAAAGTCTCGTGGGGCTTTCAACGGATTAAATATGTAATTTATGCAAAAGACGAGGGCCATTTAGGACAAAGTCTGAATGAAAATTGGCATTCAATTTAAAGTAAAAGTAGTTACATCTAACTTAGGTTCATAAAATACACGACAAATCGGGTTTCTAATGCTTTCTGCGGCCTTTCTTTCAGTGTGGATTAGCATGGAATGTTTGTACTCTACACCGCTGGCTCTGTGAGAGTGTCTCTTGCTTGTTGTCCCAGTGTGTATTATCTTTAATAAAATGTTTGCAATTGCTCTTGCTCTTGCCCTTGTCCCCACATAAAAATTGTGCTCGTAATTGCATTTGAGGCAACTCTAAAGAAAAGCAGATATATTTTTAGAGATTTTTTCGCTCAAATGCAAGTTTTAATTTCATTTCCGAGAAGCAGAAGGAGAAGGAGAGGCAGGCTGCATGTTTAGGGCATTTTTAGTCCACTCTGCTGCTCTCTCCTAACCCTTTTAGCTATGTATGACTTTTGGCCTGGTCAAAAGTGCACCCGTGGCCATTGGATTGGAGTGGTCCTTCCATAGGGTGCAACCCACAGCTTGCATTGTTGTGTTTCGTGCTTGTGGTGCTCTCTGGCATCGACATATACCTTATGACAACACTCACACACACACATTCGGGGCATGCGGCTGCTTCTATGATCAAATGGACTCCCTCTCACCAAAGGACAAATTAAGACGGGTATTCCGTCTGCAAAGTTACAAACAAAAGGTAAACCAAACCGAACTTAATCTGCTCAAAACCTTTCGAATCAGCATTCGTTTATTGGTTGCATTGAAAACATTATAATTGGGACATTTTCGGGCAGAGGCAGAGGCTTACGCCGATCGATGGGAATAATTGTGGTGCAGGAAACCCCCTGTATGTAGGTCCAGATCCCCTAAACGTTTCAAAGAAATGCAAACACTTACGTACAGAACGCACGTTCAAATACGAAGTAAGAGTAAAGAGAAAAGAGGACAGCCTGAAACAACATTGACAAATGCATATGGAAATAGTCAAAAGTCGCATATGCAAACGAAAATTAGCATTTCAATTGAATTTGCATTTAATGCAGCAACTAGAAATGTCGACTCGATGGGATCTATGGGGGTGCCATTGTGGCATATTATGCTGTTAGTTTTGCGATTTCTTAACTAAATCTAAAGATGACCACAATTGTGATTCAATCGTCATCTTTGATCGTAACAAGTTTGTGTTCTTTTGTGTGCAGGCAGATGAATGGTATTTTAATGTATTAAATACAAATTTAAGAAGAAGTTTCGCGAATTTACAATAAGAATCCACTAACCATCAGTGGAACCACTTTAAATTAGGAAATACTTTAATGAGACTAAATCAAAAGCCCACACGCAAAGCCCAAATGCACATCTAATTGGTAACTGAATATCTTTCTTAGCCATTACGCGGTGCGGTACACAAACTATCGAATAACACTCATTAGTGCATTGAAGGCAACCGCCAAAGACCTGATTATTTGGCAAATTGCCATCTCAAATTAAACGAAAAATCCCCAATGCTCATCCGAGCTGCAATAAATGCAGGCACACATGTTGCAGCGTTTTTCCCTAATAGTTGAAAGGAAAATGTAAGGATGCTGCATGCTGGTGGCGCGTGTGGGGCATTTACTTTATGTGCCCCACGTGTACGCATAAAGTGCAGCATAACGCTTTCGTTTACATGATTAAGGACTTTACAGTTGTCTTCTATGGGTTTTTTTTTTCCAGACAGAGGCTGGCATTTCGTAGAATTGTAAACCGAATAAAATACACGCGCAGCGCGAGAGCCAGAGCCAGAGCCAGAGTCAGAGCCAGCTCTTCTCATTCGTTGGATTTGGCCATGGAAAGTTTTCCCCACCAATCAAGGTTTTCCTTGCATTTTTTTGTTGGTGCAAAAGTTGCTCCTTATTTGTGAGTTCTCTTTACTTTTGCTGTGTGTTATTTCATTTGCCTTTGGCGTTAGTCAAGCATGCCTGAACCTCAAGTTCGTCCTCAGTTTTCTTTTCATTCATTCAGCGTTTAAGGATCCCTTTTAGTTGGTGGCATGACACCCGCAAATCAGCGGCCAGCTGGGAAAACCACCAAACCACCGCCAAGTATGGGGGAATAAACTTTTACGGAATTCAGGCAAGAATATGTTAATAGTTGAAGACTGGGCCATGCGTCGTATATCCAAATACAAAGACTTCTTGGGTTGAGAATTGGTTTTAACAAAAGTTATAATAATACCCAATCAATCAGTTCTGAAACGCATTTTAAGCGCTTCTCTTATGCACCTCTTGTGCTTCTCTTTTTTATGACTGCCTTCCCTGGAGCCACACTATTGCGAAATTAAAGGCATTTTCTTTATTTGACATGGGATATTGGGTGACTCGGGTCTTTGGCCGCTGCTAAGCTGCTTCGTGGCGACACAGAAGTAACCAGACCAGACCGGAGCATGTGGAGCAGCATGGTGGGCACAACAAAAGAGAAGTTGGACACAGGACACAGAACATGGACTGGCAGAGCGACGGCACAGCATCCGTTTCCGTTTTCCCTCCATTCTTGTCTGTATATCTCTGCAGAGCTCTCTGAGCTTCAGTGTGCCGTCATCTTTTTTAAATGTCATAAATTTTCAACACTTTTCAACTTAGCTAATGCAGCAGAACAAGAACCACTCGAGGAGTCCCTTTTTGGCCCAATTTGCCGACCTGTTGACTTCAGCAATTGATTTATTTTCTAGGCTTGCTTCTACAATCAGAATGCAGAATGCAGGCAAGGAATTGATGTATGGATGGCCAGATATTCTATTGATAGGCCTGAAAGCCTTTTCATTGTCAGCAACAGAGCCATGGCGGAGAGCTGCATGGCTTCAATGGTGCTCCAAGTGCCACTCCATCGGGCGAGTAACTCACTTAACGCTGGATTTTATGCAATGAAAACGACGAAGGACCTGCAGAAAAGATAGAGAGAGAGAGAGAGAAAGGCAGCACAAGAGGCTGACACAGGAGGGATTCCTCCATCACTTTCATGGTACAGTAAAAGAGGAAGGAATGCTCTAGCTCGCCAAAGAGGAGGATTTATTCACTGACTGGCTGTCCCTTTTGTTGTTTCAACAATTATATTTACATTTAAAAACTATTTCGTATCAAAATAGGAGAATTTACTAGGAGAAAGGGTACACAGCGTTCGCCGTACATCGCTCATAGCCCTAAATCTTTCTGTTTTTTTCTTCATGAGAGTTTTCAGTTTTTTTTTTAAAGCCACGTCTCCTGCGTTAACAGTTTAGACAAGCCATGCGAAAGAGCAACAGGGACAGAGGAGAAGGACAAGCAATAAACTCTACCTGCACCTACCTCTGCCCCCATTTTGCCTCTCTCCACACTCTTCCACTGTGGATG